TTTCTGTACATTAAGACCTGCTCAACTTTATAATGCCAAATAAAGGCCGTCAAACAGGGGTTATATTTCATGCAAAGTTTTGCATCTGGGCCGGAGCAAATGTGGGCTTGATTTGCAGGTCCTGGATAATCTATTTTAAACTAAAAGTGTTAACACAATCTCAGGTTTAGCCCATCGAAATGCGCACTGCGCACCCTGGCGCACCGACAAAGGGAATCTCACTGTCCGAAAAGCAATTGAAACTTGACTCCAAAAAACCCAGATTTCACACGCTAAACAAACGCATCGTATTCTCCGACTAATCCCGAATCCGCAATCGGAAGATGTCCGAAGCTCCAGTCCCAAAACTCGCCACCAGCATCCATATAACGGCACTGGACGGAATCATTAACGTCAACTCCCTCTTCACATTAGCAGTCTTCATCGGTCTCACATGGAACCCTTCCGACCCGAATAACAGCTTGATCGATCATGGTCGCCAGACGGATTGCTTACCCGGGCCGGAAGTCGCGAAGGATCTGGTGACCTTCCACGTATACTCATTCGGCTGCTTCCTCTTCTCCAGTCTCATCGCACTGGGGCTGAAGCAGGCCATCCGGTTGTACCGCTCGGCCCATTGGGACCGGACCCTGTGGACCATAGACCTGGCCCATGTGAACAAGACGGCCCTCCGGGTGGGGTACTTGGTTTCCGCTGTGGGTTCAGTTTGCGGATCGGTATTTTTGATGCTGGCTTTGGTGAATGTGGTGCAGATCAAGCTTGGGATGTTGGGATGTGGGAGTAGGCATACTTATGGGGCTGTGGTGCCTCTGGTGATTTTGGTACCAACTGGGCTCTTGATTTATGTTTGTATGGTTTTTTATGCTTTTACACGTTAATATATATATTTTTTTTTATCTTTTCTTTGAGACTTGTAAATCATGGAATTTGGTTCTGGGCTTACAGAAGATTAGTGCTTAGAAAATAAGTTGACAGGCAAAAAAAAAAAAAGTGGTTTTATTTGTTGTATGATGAAATTGGAGTATGAGAAGTGAGTATGGATCTCATTACTCTTGACTCTGCTGTTACACCTAGTAGTCTAGTATTGAATTTTAAATTGTTTCAAGTGTTTTTAGAGATGGTTTGGGTGCTATTTGCGTCTTCAACTGTGTTCCCCCACTCCCTTCTGCCTTATTCTTTGGCTTGCACGGCTAGTAAGAGCGTATTGCCCCAGAGCAACAACCAGTATCCTTTCCCTTCCCTTCCTGGATATCCCGAAGAGAGCTCACCTTTAAAGTCTTCGACTATTCTGCATTTTTAGTTGATTTTTGAGTAAATTTAATCAACTCCCATTGAACTTTAACATTTTTACTGCTTGCTCACTCATCTTTCCATATAGTTACCCATCCACCACTTATTTAACTTCCATCTCTCCAAATTGATGGAAAATTACATGTAGATAACATAAATGAAATGTGGCAAACTTATTATGTTAACTCTTGACAACGTGGAATGAAACCCACCACAATCTTAATTGACATGCATGGTTCTGAAGATCAGCACATAAATGAATATGTCAACCTTCATTTTTGAACTGATGGGCTATGTAATATCTTTTTGCTTTGCATTTTATAGCAATACTACTGGAATTGTGCTGGTAGCCTTGAGTGTGTCATATGAAGGTTGACATATTCATTTATGTGCTGATCTTCAGAACTATGCATGTCAATTAAGATTGTAGTGGGTTTCATTCCACGTTGTCAAGAGTTAACATAATAAGTGCGCGAAATTTGATTTCTATTATCCACATAGTTTTCCATCCATTTGGAGAGAGAGAAGTTAAATGAATGGTGGATGAGTAATTATATGGAAAATGCGTGAGTACTGGGTAATCTATTAAAGATGAATGAGTAAGTAGTAACAATGTTAACGTTCAATAGGTGTTAATTAAATTTACTTGTTAACTTAGGTCTAAAAAAATATGACTACATGGATAAGTAAACTTGGTGGGGAATTGGGGATTTTTTAATCCTGCCTCTCTCGAATTTATCAAGGACTATCTTGATGAACTTCAAATTATTGTGCTGGAATATGTGCGCATGTAGATGTTCCTCTTATGCTAGTACACATTTGAAATTCATCTACAAAAATCAGTAACATGAACAAATACCAAGGTCAAATGATGATATGTAATACATTTACTTCGTAATACACGTAGAAGAGCATCTTAAACAAGTTTGGCATTATATCATAATTATGGATAAACAATAATCAATTGTCGAGAATTTCAGAAACATAACTGTCAAGAATGACAGTTTATCTTGATAGATGGGTTCCATAAGAAATACAATTGAACTCCCCACATGCTAATATGAATAAGATGTTTAAATCCTCAAATTGAACCAAACTGCATCAAATTTAAAAATATATCAACTCATAAATTCAGCCTATATTTATTTTAACTCAAAATTTTCATCTGAACGGTACGTGAACCCAGGGGTGGACCCAGACCATTT